TATATTAGCTTTATTTTTGTTTGGGCTGTTGTTGCTGAATTATTGTATGGATGTTTGTTTTATCGTTATAAATGTTGATGTTACCATTATCATCATTACATTTCTTATTTATTTTACGTTAGTAATAGATGTATCATAAGCATTCCCGGGACTGACAGTTATTATTTCCCGGAAAGTCCTACTTACCATGCGTGAAAGCTGGTTATATTAATTAGCATAAAGAGGCCGCCTGTGCCTTTAGCTGTGTAGATGATTATTAAGGTGCATGGACATGCTTGTTCTCAGAACGGGTTTCGCCTCCAAAATATTAGAGCCTCGAAGCCCTATGCCATAACTCAGATGTTTCGACAGATTCACTTTACTAAATTCACACATACAGTTGCAAGGCATTCAGTAACGAGCGCCATGACATGAGAGTAGAGAGCAGTTAGCACTTTCTATCGGTTACTCACGCTGTAATCGTCTTGACAGAGTTTACTTACAGTTTTCTCTTAGACCAACACGGGGTTTCACTTTCATCTTGCTAAAACTATTGACAGACCCCGTCCTCTACAAGCCCTTAACATCCCGGATACAACCTGATGCTTCTCCGTCCAACACTTATTTCAGAAAAAGAAAGTTATTCAAAGCTGATAAGCCCTTCACATCGGGTGGTCTTAGGGCAGAGTGCTTTCTTCCCTTAAAAGGCCCAATCAAATAACGGGACAGGAACCCTCCACAAAAAAAACAAAAACAAAAAAAAAAAACGATGCCGTTATCGTACGCCATGTTGTTGTCGTGTTCTGCTACCAACACGTGATCTTTGTATTTAAGAACTTTCTCTTCGTCTCACTTTCTTGTATTTTATTCCTTTGCTGAACTGACATCCTTTTTCGTTTATCTCGTTTTGGTATCAGTCTTATACATTTTAGAATGAATGGTTCTCCTTTGAGTCATATAATAAAATCTAATAAATCCGTTAATGTCCTTCTCGACAGTGTTAAGGAAACGCACAAAATCTCGTCAGAATGAAAACTGTATACTTAATAGATTTATTCTGACAGAAAAATATAAAACAAACAAACATAGAAATCAAGGAACAGGAAAAAATGAGAAAAAAGTCTACGGATTTCTATAAGAGCGTACAAGAGCTGAGGTTTGGCCGGTACGATATCCATTTCCATCTGACTTTCTCCTCTGATCTCGCTTTCGTCCACCGACACCGAGGCGCGTTTGTTTCATTGCTGTTCCTCGGCTTGCCCAGAAAAGTTTTTGGACTCTTTCCTGTTTAAAATATATGGCGTCAGAAATCGCACTGCAGCTATTCCAAGAAGGAAGTTTTTGTTAACGTGCGATTTCGTGGACGAAGATAGTTCTGGAATGATAAGTGCGTTACTCAATTGGGCAAGAATATAAACAGTCCATGGCTATAGTGTTGCAGCTTTCTCATTCTGGGGATGGGAAGCACAGGCTGCACGCAGAGGGTGGGAGACGAAAGGTTATCAAGTGTACCATTTTGAAGATATTTTATGGAATACAGTGAAATACCATGCACTCAAAACCATGACAGACATGTAGACATATACTCTCTTTCTCTCTCTACACACACACACACACACACACACACACACACACACACACACACACACACACACACACACATACACACACACACACACATGTGTGTGTGTTTGTGTGTTGATGATATCATATGTAAGTGAATGCCCCATTGTTGTTGCTTTTTTCTGTTTATGACACGTGAGTCATGCCAGCGGCCTCGTGGAAACGTTCTCCAAACGTAGAGCTCAATGGAGTGAATGTCACACACAGATTAACGTATCTTTCGGAAACAAACCATAATTGGACGACTGAATGCCACTTGGTCATACAAAAATTTCAATAGAATAGAGCGAGAGAAATATTCCGGCACTTCCCTTACTTTCCAAAAGAAGGATAATAACAGCTACTGAAAAACAGGTTCACACTTTCCTCGACTACTAAAAATTTCTCCACTGCAAATAAAGTTTGAGAAAAGCAACACTTCCGAGAAGACGATTTCAACTCACCTGTTATCAACTTTCGCGAGAGCTGGAGCCACTTATTTACGCACTTTTACTTTCTTCGTTGATCGAAAGAGAAAATGGAAAAAAAAACAAGAACACCAGAAATCGAGCGTCAGTTTTCAGCGACGCGTTCAGTCGCACACTTCGAAACAAGTGAACATCCTTCGAAATGAGCGATTCACAGTGAAGCAGGGGCGAAAGCAAAGGAAGTTTATTCTCTGCTTGCGCTCTCTCGATGCGTACCTTTTATAACGTTAGTCAGAGGGAGATGAGGTTTGTACCTGTCCTAATTAAAGGGGGAATTTATCAGAGGATTCGTCCGGGAAAGAGAGGGAAGGTTTCGCGGGGGATTCGGTTGGGGTTCGGGACCGGGTGCACGGGACCGGGGAGGTTTCTCTCTCCGCCGGGAACACTCGCCAGAGATCACCGCCGGTGGACGACTGTGTCTCCTCGCCCGC